TGGAGCACCCAACCATGGCAGTTATGGGTTTGAAGACAGTGGAAACTTTCCTTACCTCATGGGCTCCGGTGTTAAAAATACAGACCAATAAAACAGGCAAATGAAAGATGAAGTAGGTGAGTGGGGAAAACTCAGACATGTGGAAACAACCTTCAGTAATATACACAATAGCATGTGTGACTATAGCATGTGCTTCTGACTCTTAAGACTAACAGATTTAAGAGGATGCTCAAACTTTAGATGTGCATGTAAAACGTAAGGACCACCTTTGGTAAGGTTAACCTTTGTGGCTAAGCCTCAGTTCCCCAACTGCATAATGAGACTTACTAATGCTGTATTGATAATAGAATAGATCCTAAAAGTTCTTATCAATAGCCAAACTATGGAGAGAGCCCAAATGTCCATCAACTGGTGAATGGGTAAAGAAGATGTGATATACATGATGGAATATTATTCAGCCATCAAGAAGAATTAAATCATGTGCAATGATATGGATGGAGCTAGAATGCATTATGCTAAGTGAAATAAGTCAATCAGAGGAAGACAAATACACATATGATACTCATATGTGGAATTTAATTAAAAAACGAAACAGATAAACATATGGGAAAGGGGGAAAAGAAGAGAGGGAAATAAACCACAAGAGACTTTTTTTTTGTTTTACAAATAGTTTATTGTCAAGTTGGTTTCCACATAACACCCAGTGCTCATCCCCACAAGTGGCCTCCTCCATGCCCATCTCCCCCCTCCCCCCCCAACACCCATCAGTCCTCAGTTTGTTCTCAGCATTCAAGAGTCTCTCATGCTTTGCCTCTCTCCCTTTCCCCCACCATTTCCTCCTTTCTTCTCCCCCATGGTCCTCTGTTAAGTTCCTCCTAATCCTCCTATACGTGCAAACGTATGATATTTGTCCTTCTCTGCCTGACTTATTTCGCTCAGCATAACACCCTCAAGGTCCATCCATGTTGCTACACATGGCCAGATTTCATTGTTTCTCATTGCCATGTAGTATTCCATTGTATAGATAAACCACATCTTCTTGATCCATTCGTCCGTTGATGGGCACTTAGGCTCTTTCCATGTTTTAGCTACTGTGGAGAGTGCTGCTATGAACATTGGGGTACAGGTGCCCCTATGCATCAGCATTTCTGTATCCCTTGGGTAAATTCCTAGGAGTGCTATTGCTGGGTCATAGGGGAGTTCTGATAAGATAGTTGAAGGCTATGACATGATGATTTGATATATGGATACATCATGAAAGGTTTTTTTTCCCATCCACTTAATTAACATATCCATCACCTCACATATTCACCTTTCTTTCTTTAAACCCAAGATTCTTGGTGTCCCAGGTTTCTGAGTACAGTAGTGTATTTGAAAAGAGTCCAAGATCTTGGGCACAGTTTACTTTTTTCTGTTGCTAGCTGTTGCCACAAGCGAAGTGAGTATAAATCAAAGTATATTTATTTTACAGAAGCACTTTTCTCCAAAGCCCCATTCAAGGTCTGCCTTCTCCAGGAGGCCTTCCCTTCCCGTTAGGTCTATGGTGGGTTGCTGCTCTCTGAGTCCCCAAAACACATTGCTCTTAAATATCTGTTTCCAAGCATCTGTCTGCTTTGTGTCTTAAATTAGATTGTAATTTCTCAGAAGGCAGGGTGTGCGTCCAAAGATTCCTCATAAGAACGAGCATTGTATGGGGGGCACAGAAGGAGATGCACCAAACTGCTTGTGAAAATAAATGGAAAGGCTCTATTTGGAATGTGAAGCAAGGAAAGACCCCTCTGGTTTATAAAGAAACAGGGACAGACTTGATAGGCATTCCTAGCTAGGACTAAATATTTGAGGCTGTCAGGCCTCAATATGGGATATAAAGTATTATTTTTCTTCTACTGAAATATCTCCTTGCAAACAGAAGTCCCAGGGGACAAGGAGTATGGCTGAAACTGGACAGACCAGATGCCAGAATAGCTAGATTTATTTTTGGACCCTAAGCCTGGCCTCCAGGGAAAGAAGGAACTTGTCAATTTCACTTTTTGCTTGGATCAGAAGGTTGAGCCTGGCAGAGAGATGCTGTTTGGGACTAGTAGTTCTCTGGAATTTCTAACCTTCTCTGGGGTTGGGAGGAGTCGGGAGAAGAAAATGCATCATTTGAATGACAGCCATGGTTACGACAGGCCCCGCATGCCAACCAGAGGGAAAGAAAATACTTGCTGAGCAAAGTGACTGGAAGGCGGTTGCTCATATTTTGAGCTAAGCTACGTGGGTGAAATCCAGAAAATATAGACTTTTGGACCAGCGACCACTTGGAAATAGGCTTTCTGGCTGGAAAGGAGCATGTAGTATTGGGGATGAAAAGGACAATTGCAATGCCTTTTCTCTGGGTGCATTGTGCTGCCAGATACTGGCGGGGGGGGGGGTGGGGGCGGGCATCGCAAGCCTGTTTGCTTACTCCAACAGATTTCTCAATAATTCCAGCAACGGAAAGAAGTTGACCAGCTTGATGGTGTGGACAAGGCCAGGTGATAGAGTCACAACAAACCTGTCGGGCTGCCGAGCCCACTGATAACATTTCCATCCTGCCGACCCTTGGTGGGTGAACACATGGAGCACACGGAAATTGATATAAGTGCTGCATGAGGCACAGCAGTACTGGACAAATGTCACAAGTCCAGCTGGGCAAATTCCCAGGATGCCAGATCACAGAGGCTGCTTCCACGCTCTTCCCTCCAAGCTCGGTGCAGCTCAGAAGTCTCAGGTCCTTTGCAGGTCACTCAAGAAATTCCCGGTGAGCACCCAGGGAACATCTAACTCTATGGTATTTGAGATTGGACACTGTAGCCACCACATGCCGGAGGCAGAATTAGAATCTGAAAACCTGGCCTTGAATCTTGGACATCATTTACCAGCCAAATGAGGGAAGAAAGTCACAACTGCATGGCATAGCAGTTTATTTCCCTGTAAAGTTGGATCGATCTCTCTACCTCCCGGGATCATTCTGAGGGTAGAATGAGACAAGGCAACTGTCCTGCCCTCTTCTTACGCTAAATGTGCTATTTCTAACTTCACCGTCTCCTTAAATCCTGACAACTCTTGAAGTAGAGACTATTTTTATCCCCATTTTACAGAGGCGAAGACTGGACCCCAGACAAGTACATTGGCTTATGCAAGGTTATGCCACTAGGTGGCAGACCCAGGATTTGAACCCGTCCTGTCTAGCTCCAAAAAGCACGTCTGACCACTGTGTTATTTCTCAGTAGAGGAAGACAGGCAGTTCTCTTAGACACGGTCTTCATTTTTGTTTGGAGAGCCACAAGTGCTTCGTTTTTGTTCCGGCATCCGGGCTGGGCTGTTTTATCTGAGGGCACTGGGGAGAGTTTATTAAGTAGGGGGTGGTCTATTCAGCTTTGCTGTTTAGAACGATGCAGGGTGGGGGCTGGATGGAGGCAGGCAAGGGGAGTGGGCACAACCGAATGCGGAGCTGGATGGGAAGCGTGTTCACACAGCTGGGGAGAGAAGGTGTAAGGGAGCAGAGCTAACTTCTGTTAGGACCTCTCCGGCGCAGGCAGGGAGGGGGAATTAAGTACTGGTGGCTCTGCTTCCAGTCTGCTTAGAGAAAAGATTCCCTCCTCCTGAACTGAGCGGTCCATACCCATGGAAGTAAACACTAAGGGTTGTACTCCCGTAAAAAGAGAAACCACGGTTCTCTTGGGTTGGACGCAGTGGATCATCAGGTTCTATTTGAGGAGCTGGTGTGAAGCAGCTGTGACTGTTCCCAAGATGGCTCTTTGGGGACCACCCCGGGGAGAGCCCTCCCACATCCGGCTGGACCTTGTGTTGCGCAATCATCTCCAAGTGGGCTGGGCACCCAGGAGAGGTCTCCTCTCCCCATTCTGACCCAGCCTGGGGTCTTTGCACCCACAGGCCTCCTCCCCATCAATACTTTTTTCTTCCCATCCCCCTCTAGGAGACCAGGTCCCGCTCTGGGCTCCTCTCTCAGGACTCCTAGGCCGCGGAGTGGCTGCCCCTGGGCCCTCCAGTCGGAGGCGGGGAACCCGGAGTCCTGGAGCCACCACGGGGCCACAGGTAGGCATTACCCCATACCCACAGGGGCCCTCCCCCCAGGCAGATGCCCAGGACGCACTTCACCTTATCTCCTGACGCTTCTCCCGAGGGAAATGCTGTCGGGCTTGGGTTGTCACATCCTCGGAACTTCTTTGAAACAAACGAATGCACCCATTCCCCACTGCCAACGCAAGTGACAGCCTGGCCTGCGTGGGCCACCTTCTCAGTTGTGCTTGCTGTGGGTGCGGCAGGGAAGCAGATTTCTTGGCTCCTCTGCGCCCTAGTATCCTCATCAGAAAAAGGGGGGTAGAAGTATTTTTCCTGCGTATCTTACAGGACTGTTGTGACAACTCGGGGGCTTATGTTGAAAACTACTCATGCTTAGGGCATGATTTTCAGCCGGGTGGGCATTCTGGGAGTTAGGGCCGCCGCAGCTCCCCGGGGCCTCCTCAGACAGAAGCGCCGGGACAAAGTTCCTGTTCTCCCAGCCTCTCCAGGAGCCTTCTCCGGCACAGCGAGCGGGTGTAGCTCCTCCGTGGGGTCGACCGCAAGCCGCCCCTCTTTCCGCTCTCTCATTGGCTTTCACCTGCCAGAGGGTCGGCTGCTACGGGCCCCTCGGTCCGTCAATCAGGGCCGCCGGGCTCCGCCCCGCCCCTTCCCGGGGGTTTATAACGGGAATTCCCATGGCCCGCGCTCTGGCGTCCAACCTGCTGCCGCCGCGGCCCGGCCGAGCCGAGCCGAGCCGAGCCGAGCGAGCGAGAGAGCGAGCGCAGCGCGCAGAGCACACGCTCGCGCTCCAGCTCCCCTCCCCGGCGGTTCATGACCGCGCGCTCTGAGCGCAGCCCCGCCAGCGCCGCCGCCCCGCCGCCCGCAGCCGCCGGGGCCCCCGAGGGAAGGAAGGCACGAAGGCAGGCGCGGCCGTGCGCCCCGCGGAGCCCGCGCCCCCCGCCCGCAGCCAGCTGCCCGGCCCGCCTGGCACCATGCTGCCCGCGCGCTGCGCCCGCCTGCTCACGCCCCACTTGCTGCTCGTGTTGGTGCAACTGTCCCCGGCTCGCGGCCACCGCACCACGGGCCCCAGGGTAAGTGCGCCCCCGGCCGCGCGCCCACCTGCGGAGGGAGCCTGAGGTCCCTTGCCCGCAACCCTCCGGGCCCGGGGAGGAGGGAGAGAGGTTCGCTTCACACGCCCCCCACCCCCCACCCCGCGCCCCCTCCTCCTACCACCCAGTCCTCGCCGGCTTCTGGGCGAAGTTGCTGAAATAAAAATTAATCCCATTCTCCACCCCCCAACCCCATCCTTTCTTGCAGCGCCAACTCTGCCTCCCGCCTTCCCCCCGAACTGTCACTGGTGGGTTTTCTTTCCCAGTCTCTTCTCCCAGGGCATCTTGCTCCGAGCGGGTGCCTCCTGCGTCCGAGCGAGGCTGGCTCTCCGCTAGAGCGGGCTGCCCTGTTGGGCTCCGTGCTGCGCCCGGTCCGGGTCCCAGAGCGCGGGCGTTCTTGGCAGGCGGCGGGGGGCAGCTCTGCCTCCAGAGTTTTAGGTTACCCGAGAGTCACACAAGGACCTTGTGTTGTTGTTGTTTTAAAAAGCGATCGCTGCTCGTAAAACCTGCTGCAGATAATTTTAATGCTCCCCCCTGCTGGGCACGGGCCCCGTAGGAGGGGTGGAGGCAGGGGGGCGGGGGGGGGGTTTGCTGTGGAGAGGAGCCGCGCAGCGTTTGAGAGTCTCTTCCCCCGGCTTCAGGGCTGGGAGGTTGAACTACTTGTTGAACCTTGGTCTGATTCGAGTCCCTGAACGATATGAAACGTGCCAATTCTGTGCACAGGACAGGCTGTCCAGGGCATTGTAAAATCTGGAACTGACCGCATTGTGTTCATTTCTGGTCTCGATTATTGCTTCCCCCCCACCCCAATTGGTTTAATGACGGATTCCGTTGCCTTAAAAAATGTACTATTAAACCACCTGGTGGCTCATTTGATCAGACTTAATCCAGCCGATCTCTGGCCAAAAAGCAGTCTCTCAGGATAGCTGCTTGCCTCTACTGGCAGCCTGAGTGTCCCTGTGAAGGCAGCCGGCATCTTTGTGAAAACAACGCTGGCTCCTTCACTAGCGTGTGCTTTGCTGGGTATCTCCAGGCCTAGCCCCATTACCACCTGTTCAGGTTGCAGGTTCTTTATCCGTAACTCTTGCTGTATGAGAATCGTCTTTATAGCTGTTGAGTGTGGAGGAAAAAAAGCCTCGCAGAGGTTGACCAGCTTTAATGACTGCCCAGATGCCGGCTGCCGAGGTGGGGAGCCCAGCTATCACTGTGAGATCAGATTTGCAGCCACTTAGGAAAGAAAAGTGTTTGTCCCCGTGTTGGGCCGGCCTGTGCTTTTATGACCAGATGTGCAGCAGCAGCAGTTAAGGTGTGGCAGATTAGATCCAGGGCGTGTCATAAATCCTCGACAGCAGGCATTCAGCAGGCATTCCCGAAGCCGGGGCAAGTAAGGGCTCCGGGAGGGACTTTTATGGATGCAGATGAGGATGCCTTTTAAATGAAGCTGCTTGGTTTGATATTAGGACTCTCAGCTTTTAAAGTCCGGGGTCAGGAGAGCCACAGCTTTCCCTCCAATAATTAGGAACAGTCAAGACAGACGCAGAGCAGAGCACCCCGACTGAAATCTGGATGCCCGCCCACATGAGAGGCCCGGAGACAAATGGTGGGGGGCTCGTTTGCTGCTGGGCATGCCTAGCATCTCAAGCCATATGGCTTTCCTTCTCTGCCTCCTGAAATTGGAGGAAGCAACTTTTAGGGGAAAGCTAAGGAGTTCAGGGAAAAATAGGGACATTGATTAGGTTTCCCTCCAGCTTCTTTAGTTTAATAATTTGATAGACATGATGAAATAAAACAAGAACTGTAAATAGGGTTGTGTGTATCCCAGCTGCATTCTCTCTCTCTCTCTCTCTCTCTCTCTCTCTCTCTCACACACACACACACACACACACACACACACACACACACACGTTTAGAAAGTACCAAGGGGAAGCTGTTGTCTTGAGCATGCGGTTACTTGGATGCATTTATGGGCAACCGTAGAGCTACCATTTAGGAACACTGGGACTAGGCACCTTCCAAGATCGCTTATGCTCATAAGAACAAGAAGGTGGGTCTTTTTAGTGCCCTTTTGCAAGTGAGTCTCGGGGAAGCTAAATGGCTTGCCTGAAACACTCACGGTGCATATGCACTTCTGGAAACCAAATCCCCGTTTATACGGATTCACAGGTGGTGTGCTTTCCCTGCCACCAGGCAGCTGCAGGAGTGCTCGGGGAGGGAGCAGTGCCGTTCATGTTAGAGGAAGCTATGGCTCAGCGAGACCACACTAAACCCAGGATGCAACAGGGGAATCCGTAAGAAAGCATTCATAGTGAGCTTTGGTGTCCGAATCGCTAAAGGGCGATGTCTTTGAGTTTCAACCTATCCCCCAAGTCTCCAGCTCTCCTCTGTGGGTTCTTGGTGGCCTGAGAAGTGTGGCTCTGGTTGCTAGTGGCAGTGTCATGGCAGGAACAGAAACATCTGGCTTGTTGCAGTATTCCCTTGGGCACCCCTGGGTCTCTTCTGTTAATCTTTTGAGTGACAGAGGCTTAAGGATTGGCATCTTTTCCAGCTGGCTTTCTAGGAAACGGAGAGCGTGCCCTTTCGGTTTAACTTTATCTGGCTCACTAATTGAGCTCCCTCGAGGCCTAGACCCCAACCCTTGTTCCCTTATTTGCTTCCTGCCTTCATAAAATGCCTGACGTTTGTTTGACTCTGGAAACCGACAGCTATCAAGTATCAGATTGGAGGCTATTATGTAGGAAGCACCTGATTTTTTTGGTCCCTGAGTTCCGAGCAGCCACTTGGCTACCTGGGACACTGGTTAGGATCCTTTTAATTACCAAGGAGGCAGCCATTTCTGTAATCCTGTACAATTTACTGAAACTGTTTCAGGGCAGGATAGGATGGGGGAGGGGCTCGCCCAGGCTGATGGAGTCCGGCTGATGGTAAGGCCAAGGCAACTGCTTGTCTTTGTCTAATCCTCTGTCTGCCCTGGAAGACCAGGAGCTGGGTGAGGGCGGGAACTGGGCCCGTCTTCTCTACTGCTGCATCCCCAGAGCTCAGCCCGGGGCCAAGTGCCTGGTGGGGATGGGACTTTGTTGGTGTTTACGGGGAAAAAAATGCGTTCAGATATTGCATGTTTAGCAACATTCTGTGGGTTCCACTTTCTTAGCGCTTAGCATGACCAGAGAGAGGAAATAGATTTAAGAAGTTTGAAAATAGGGAAAAAATGGGAAGGTCAAGAAGTCTGAGCAGGGAATTTGATTTCTTAGTGGTTTTATGTATATTATTCGTTCTCTCTGCTCTCGTTGCCTTGGTTTGGCCTTCAAAGCCTGGCTTCCGCATTACTCACTGGGAACTTATTGCAGACTGCCCTTTTGGTGAGAATTGGTCACTCTTCCCTTCGACCAGCTCCTGTATCTGGTTCACTCGCGTGAACTAACTTTTGCGGATCCTTCTACAATGAGTGCCTTGAGATCAGGCCGGCATCTCTGTCTTCTCAGCACTAACGAGCCCCCTCAGCACATCATGCACGGTCCTGTTTAGTGAAAAGAACACACTCGCACAGAGGGCAGAATAGAGGTCTTTGTCATCGTACTGGGTCACACTGAGCGTTCTGTAAATATTTGCTGAAATGAATTGGACTCTACAGTGATGGCCACGCTGGGCCCCTTGCTCTCATTTAAACTGGAAATTGGTCACTTCACAGATGGTTTTCCCCCATTCGTAGGCTTTTGTTCTTTGTTTAAAAATTAGTAAGGGTGGTGGTTATGGGAGGTTTTGGGGTGGAGAGACTGAGCAAGCAAACTTGGATGGGGCTTCGGCTCCACCCTAACCCTCTTTTCTGTCTTGCATGTGCCAAATGTGAAGCAGCTTCTAGACTGTTCGCTTCCATTTGACTAGGCTGTCTCAGTGTCTCAGTGTCTGCACCGGGGTGGGTCCCGGTGTCTGTGTAGACGCCCTTCTTATTCCTTGCGTGCCCGACAAGAACCTTTCTTTTCCATCTGGGGGATTTATCCAAGATGCTACTCACGTCATAGGCAAAGAACTTGACAGAAACATTTTGATAGAGCTGACATGGGAAACTTAAAGAAACAAAATTGAGAGGGACAGGAAGAGGAAATAATCATCTTAGAAACTGGAGGAAATGGAAAGTGGAAAACACTTGATATTATCTCATGATCTCCCAAGGTTGAAATTCACATTTCTTATGTCCCAGCAATTCCACTCCCAGGTGCAGATGCCCAAGAGAGACTTGTGTCCAGAGGGGGATGTTCGCAAGCATGTCTGTAATACTATAAGCCTGGAAAAAGCCCAGCTGCCCATTAGTTGGAGGACAGATTAGCTGATGGCCTTGCACAGTGGAGAATTACAATAAGGCAAAACAAATGAACAACAGTGAGATGCAAAAATAGGGATGCATCTTGGTCATACGATATTAGGTACAAGAAATACACCAAAAGGTGGAGCATGTCATCTTTCATAAACTCAAAAAGAGCTAAACTCAAAGAAAAGCCCTCTTAGGAATACTGAGAGCTACAATAATGCTCTATGAAAAGGAAAGCAAGGTGACGTTACTTTTAGTGGAAGGGAGGGAAGGGTTTGAAGGTATTTGTCCATTAGTAAGGATCAGTGGCTGATTAGGTGCAAGATGAAAGTGGGCCCCGCATAGGCCAGTGTTGAGTGTCACGAACCAAAGTTTATGATTGATTCAATTCTTGGCACCTGTGATCAGACACACAGAAAGCCCCCCAGATTAGGAGCTCCTAGCTTGCCTCCTTCTGTTCCCCCCTTCCAGATGTGCATGCGGCCCTACCTAAAATACCACACTGGGGAGTGATGATTGGCTTTTGTTTCAATTCTTGGCCGATTAGACCCAGAGCAGGCCCAGGCCCTGGCATAAATATCTACATCAGCTGGCCAAAGGGCTCATTTGTAAGGCTGAGTCGGCAGTGGGCAGTCTTCCCTCTCCCTTGCTCAGGAGGATCAGCCCTGTACATCTGAGT